AATTCATCGTGGTTTCTTACAGCTTTTCCGGGTGATTATTGGAATAGGCCGTTAATCAGGACACAGTTGTGTTCTCCAACGCCTTCTGTTATATGAACATTACAAAGTGTTAGTTTCATTTAGGCACACTTTAAAGCATAATACATAAAAACCTAGATAATGTTTTACATAGAAGCATATCTTGTGAGTCTCTTACAAATTTTTATTTTGATCATCAAACGGTTTTGCAACTTCAAAGCTTATGTCGAATATTTCATAACCTGGGTTCCTTACATTCCGCTACCACAGTCACTATGTTATTCTTTCATGTAAATATCATTCCTTAATCTGAAACCGGTAACTTGTTAATTTCTGTGTATATAGATAGATATGGATGTCATTTATACGTTTTTATTTAAAGACGCTTTCAGTAGCTCAGGCTATAGCTTATTGCGTAGAATGTTAAGGGTAGTTAATGAATAATGAACAGGAAGGGGTGTGAAATAAAGCGTAATAAACCCTAAATTTGCCAGGAGGAACTGAGAGAAACCAAAATAAATTCAAGATATGTGGTTTCTGAGAGATCAGAACCGCCAACCCCTAGAATTATGACTCAGGATTGCTAACCACTCAACCTCAACGCCCAGTTACGTACGGATATTTTATGTTCGTGTAAGTATAAAATGCTATTTCCTTTGTTTAAGGTGCCAGAAAAACCCGAATCCCAGACGTCGGCTTGGCATCTTCGTGCATTGGAACAACAAAGATCTCTGCCCGTCGTGGCCGGTCGTTGCTTTCAGCTACTAATGTTGACGTGACAAAACCACAATCCAGTGAACATAACATGAAACTAAACAATGAAAATCGTTACTCGGAGTTTACGAAACCACCATACACATACACTGAACTGATTGAAGAAGCTCTTCAAGAGAAAGGAGAGCTTACGGTATCTGAAATCTACCAGTGGATTTCGTAAGTGGACTAAAGCATGATCAAATATATCTCTTGATGCAGTGTTTGAGTATACTACAAAATATATTTATTCAGATCGTTTATCTATTTATTCACTGTAATTATTTAACGACGTGGATATGAAGAATTGAAATGAGAGCAACTTCCTTACCTTTGTTTCGAGACTCATACTGCCATCGAAGTTGCCAGAACAGTGCATTTACGCAGTAACCAATCCCCTCTTTTTTAAATCAGGAATGCTGGTGAATTAGTAACGACCTAGATCAGTATTTGGGTGGTAAATTTTTTTTTTAAAAATGTTGGCCTTGTGAACGGTTAGTTCAGAGGTTCTGCTTGGTATCTGCCCGGTTTTAATCTAAACCGGATACAGACTGGCTCTCCTCAGTTATACGTGCGAATGATGGGAGAATATTTGTTAATGAACTACGACACTTTCCTCTTGCGTCGCTTGTGTGTTTAGATTCAATGGCCATATACTATTCCTCATTTCGTATTATATAATATTGGTAGATGATGCAAATATCAAGGTTTGTTCTCTTATGTTATAATATCCAGAAATTGTGCTCTTACGTGTAAGTTATAATATCAGAGAAGACTCGCTCTCTGTCATCTTTATTTATATTCTTTTTCCGTGTTCCTTTTCCGGTTTTTTTCCGTACTGGGAACTCCGAGCCGTAAGCATTTCGATTAGTTATTAGCAAAAGTATTAAAGAGTGATTGGTGTAGTAATTGACAAGAGGGTTTAGATTGGGTTCATACGTCACTAGCAAGTGAATTTCCCGTTATTTAACTGATATTTTAGCTTCTATTTTAATATACCCTGAAGTGTTGACAGTGTCTGTGGGTCAGAATTAATCTTACCCGTTTCCCAGTTAAAACGCACTAACATCATTTAGACTAAACCTACCATCGTTCCTGTTTAATTCGTAGCAAAATTGAGACATTAAACAATCCAGAAAACAAACAAAAATAGTTTTGAATGCGAAGCATCTCATCTTACAGCACATCTATATGTAGTGAAATACAACTGAACGCCATTCAGCATGATAGAACACCTGGTCGGGTGACTGCAGACTTTTTCTTCATGGTCAGTCAATATCTAGTACCTAGCACGGAGTGCGGGATACAAGGGGTCTCACATCCCTTCTCTTCCACACAAATAGGCTTATGAATAGATCGGGCAATTCGCGTTATAGCATCCAGGGAACTAAACATTGCCCCAGAAGTACTGAAGCATAAAAACATGAACTCCTTGCATACTAGTCGGCACACCAACGAAAGGAAACGACAAAGGTCCTGATAAATTTTACGAGCAAGACATAAAATTCATTCAAACTCGTTTGTTGTCATCAGACGGTACTGAAATGTAAAATGCAAAGTAGGCCTACTTCTCATGCCAAGGAAACTGCCCTTATTCAGATCGTGACTGAACCTACTATCGTTTTGGGGTGTCTTTAAGGCGAGTGAAATGTACGATCACAGGGATGAACTGTTTTCTTGTATGCTGGGGGGTGCGTTATTCAGAACCACGAGATTTTCACAAGATTTCTTTGTTTTTGGTGCTCTAACTTGTTATCTGTTACATGTGTGCCAAGTTTTAAATCTCAGTTCCATGTGAAATAGCGAAAGGGAGTGACGAGCTTAATGATGCTTGATATAATTCAAAACAATAGGGTATATGATCAAAATTGAGTCATATGCAGTGTAATGTGAAGTTTATTTGCCTTTTTATTTTCAAAAACTTACAAGATGGGTTTACCTGTGGGTATATTCAGGAATATTTCACTGTTATTTCTACATAATATATCTGTAATGCTATTAAAATTATCTGTCCAAACGATTCCTGACTTTTAACGGTCATTGAACTTCTGTCAAAGCAGCAATGAAGTCTCATAACCCGTTGCTTTTTTGGTGATAGGGGTCATTATCATTGCAATTTACGTAAGCTAAAAACAGATGGTAACCCGCACGAGTTCCGCAGACTAAAACCTGAAAATATTAAAAAATAAACAAACAAAATATAATATTAGTAAGAGCTAGCTGGATCTATGCTCGCGGTAATTTCAATATCGAAACTGTACGATACCGCTCATAAGGGGCATAGCCAATGGGTGATGCAAGGTTGGTTATTGTTTCTCCCTCATATCAGCACGCGGCCGCTGGGCCTTCCACGCCACCTGCCTGCGCATGTCACACGGAACGGAATGTGCGTGAGTCTTTGCAGTGGCGAGTGCATGAAATAATATACAGCAGCGGCGGAGCGCGACTTTTCAAAAGTTTTGGTCAAATCCCGGGGCGGCGGGGTATCGTGAAAGTCTTGTCAAAATAACATTGTACAATGCACCTATGGAAATTTGAGCTAAAAATTAATAAGGTTGAGGTATGAAAGTACAAGAAAATATAAACAAAGGCAAAATTGTTAGCAACTACTGGGCTTACCACGTTTTATTACACCTGGTACTTCCGTTCCATACGTATTTTGAAGTGAAAATATCTATCAGTCACAGAAATTTGGCCTGGTTCAGAGTCTTGAAGATCAATTTTGTACCAAGATCCAGAAAAAATGGCTTACTTAGTTTCTGTTAAATATCAGAAATCCCTCTGATAATATATGTTCACTCTGTATATTGCATATAATGGGTTTTGTTACATTTTATTACAGGGAACACTTTCCATACTACAAGGCGAATGATGATAGATGGAAGAATTCAGTCCGACATAATTTATCAATCAGCCCACATTTCCGGAAAGGTCGCAAAGCACCACATGGAGCAGGTCACCTTTGGACAACTGCAAACAAATATGAAAATTTCAAGACAACCCTAGTAAGAATATGTCAAATTTTAAATTTACTTTCAACATGTGTCTTGATTTTGGTTGCTGATAAATTTATAAAGTTTTTGAGGATTATTTTTGGCATTAAGTAAAAATTACAGCATGAAAAAAAGTTTATGACTTTGTAACAAGAACTAATTAACCCTTAGGCGTATATGTCAGTATAATCTGGTAACGCTCGAGGGCATTTAAATCGACGCTAGCCGTATAAGTCAGTGCAGTGCACGCCCGGCTGTTAGCCTAATTCCTGCAGCCCACAAGTATGGAACTAATAACGACTGATATATGATGTTTGTAGTTTATCTGTTGCGAAAAGAATGCTCTCTCTGTTCATATAGGACTAGCTTTGTATTTCATGCGGCTGGGACGGTCAATCTAAATATAACTGCTTGACCTCAAAAGTTATCGGGACTTGCCTCTCAACACGTGGTGTTTGTTTGTGAATGCAGGTTATTCATTTTATCAGTGTCGGAAGTATCATATGATACAGCCATAATTCCTGGAACTAAAGAGAGAGGAAAAAAAGTCGTATCTGAAGCATTCAAGACTGATCAACGTCGCTTTGTATATGCGTTCTGCATGTAACGGTGTGTCCGAAATAAGCAAATTTTATCATACCTATACTCAGAAGTATATCTAGGAAGGCTTCTTAGAAAGAGACGGTTGAATGCATCACTGTATAATGAATTGCTAACCTTCAGTTTCTCAGACAGCTGATAGAGTGCGGTAACGGCGCATATTTCTGACACAAGAAAGAATGCTGCAGCCTCCAATACATTACGGAGTGTGTATTAAGCACGAGAAAAGGATAAAATCTATTTATTGGGGTAGTGTTGTTTTTTTGATGACGTTTCAAATACAGCCATACGAAACTCAACGTCTAATCCGCATCTACCATTGCTCACACACAGGGCGTTCATATTATAAGGTAAGATTATAAATCCAACATTTTAAGAGTATTTCAGTGAAAATACATAATTATATCTCACATAGTTCGAGCGTTATGATAAATAAAGTGTTTTAGAGCAAAATTTAAATGGCCATTCAGACGCAATTATCGCGGCTCGAGCTCTGTCGCGGTATTTAAATTTTCCGCGTCAAAAGCAGACAAATGAATTGTAATAACAAGAGACACAAACGTAATACATAATAACATCGTTAAATATGCCAGTTATATATTTATTATGTTTGATGACAATTTTGTAAATTTTCAGTCAACAAATCTTCAAATTCAGATCGTTAAGTCATACAGATTGAAATTCATAATTTTCACAAACTTCTGCACCTGGATACAGGAAATTCAAAGAAAGAAATTATTTTAGGTTGGTCCAAAGACTTATTTTTCAAAATCTTTTTAAAGAATCATCCATAAATTGTATTTTATTTATTTATAGTTTATTTAATTATACTTTCAGTAGTGCATATTATATAGTATTGAATGATAAGGATACTGGAGGGGCTGAGGACAACCACAAAAAACCTGTGTGGATAGCTGGAGTCAGGACTAAAATTTGATACCAGGACCTCTCTAATGCTAACCATTCAGCCCTGACACTTGATATATAACCCCTAAACAAGTTTTCTCTAACAGGAATATAAAGAAGTTCAGCTAAATAAAACTGGAGTACGAGGTGCGATCGGAAAGTTCC